AGGACCACTACTGTAAAAGACTAAGAAAAAGAACCCATACTAATCCACTAAAGTGGATTCTTAGCTGGTTGCTGGGATGTAGGGGTAGGGTTAGGGAAGGGAGGGGAAGTGCACAGGATTGTTTGGGTGTTGGGGAGGGAGGCAATATACAAGAAGGGAAAGGGAATGGAAGCACAAAACAGATGGGAGAACAATTAGGTAGGTTTGAATGGGCTAAATGGGACAGAGGTAAATTATGATGTAGGCACAACCTTGGAACAACAGGGCTCTGGGATACAGAGATTGAGACATGGTTGGAATGGGGGAAAGAGGGGAATAATATTAAGATGCTTGGCTGCGTTTTGAATCTTGGTTTTCCATGCATTCTATTATAAAATAGATACTGGAGAGGGAGAAAAAGGAATAGCCAGAAATATCACCATAGAAAGCTTGTAAGTCCGTCTTCTGCCTATAACTGATTGGAATACCTAAAGTGGGGCTACAATGTGCCCAGTGAAGGAGGTTTCCTGCGGAGCCTCTGCCATACAAGACTATAGGTGGAAGCCTGAACTGCATCCAGATCTCCAGAGATGGGAAATTCCCACTTGAAAGGACAAGCAGACCAGCCTGGAGCAGCTAGAAAAACAGAAGATATTTCTTGAAAGAAAGACCTACAGGAAAAATACAAAACAACAAAGGCGGTCCGACTGTTACTACAAGTACAAGCAAGTTGCTTGTCCAGAAGACATCAAGGCAAGTGGTCGGGTCCCCTCAGTGCAAATCCTCTTCCAAGAATAAGACTCAATGGGCATACACACTCTGATTGGTGACCACGCACGTCACCCATAAGGGGAAGTGAGGAAAAAACAGCAATGAAGCAGTGAGCTAAGCCCTACAACGATCAATAGACTTCTGTGAACCCGGGTGAAGACCTGGTCGGCCAGCAGTGTGGCAAGACCTGGGGTCTCATGGGCTCAGAGTCAGTGACACAGCCACAGAGGACTAGAGTGGAGAGTGAAGCATCCAGCTGATAAGAAGAGAGCAGATAGTCTCAAGGACACCCACACTCGCAGATAATACCCACTTGACCTGGCTTCAATTACTGGATGATCAGAGCTCAACCCGAAGAAAAAAGAAGAGGAAAAAGGTGTCATCTGATACAATTTGATGAACTTGACCTACACCAATAGCTACACCAGTAGCTCAAAAGAGGAAACAAATCCTTACTGCAAGAATCATTCCCACCCCTCCACACACAGAGTAGACAGGGATGGGCAACTTGGACATTGGCTACCCAAAATGGAAGTGGGGAGGGGGGAGGGGACTACAAAGGCAAGAAGTGACTGGCTTACAAGCTTTCAAGAGGGAGCCTAGAGTCCCTTAAACAAATAATAAATAAGGGGGAATCTGATGCAGACCGTGCAGA